TTCCATCGTGCAAGCCTCCCTCTTGGAAATGGAAAATGGAAAGTTTGTAACAGGTTGAATGTCAGTCTCGTTTAGTTCTTCATGATAACGTTGCTTGTTCCACTTTCTCTCACAGACGATTTAGTTCAGACCATTATGGCCGATCTTGCTTTCGAAAAGAAAAACTAATTAAAAGGCAAGTGTGTAACCACTGGAATGTCGATCTTCCTTACACTTTTATGATGGGGACATTCTTGTGATCAAGTTAATGGTGGGGCGCTGATCACCATTTCTCTCGGCAATTGCTGCCTTATTTTAAAGGTACAGGTGACATCAGCATGTGTAACAAGTATATTGTGCAGTGTCATGTATCCCACAGAACCTTACTCATTTATCAACCTCGAAATGATGAATGGCAACGATTCCACCAGGACTCGAACCCAAATCCTCCCAATTGTAAATCCGATGCACTGCCGACTAAGCATTTTCGGTTTTATGTAAGGAGACAGATTTATTCGAATTCAGCCGTTTTTTCGTCTCCGATGTAATGCCACTTTGTTGAAAGAAAGAAAACGATTGTGCGTCGCAGTAATCAGTAGCTGTAGATGTTGCATTCTAGAAAATACCGCACTCCTTGCTGATGTCATCGTAACAAGATTAGCGCTGCGCCGTAATCTCATCATAGACGTATGCGGAACAACAACACTGCACTTATTACAAATATTATTTGCCTTTTCTTTCATGGGCCTCATTTCAGACGAAACTACATTATTTTGGAAGTTGATATGTACAGGTATATGGACAATACTAGAGTATACGATCTCACGTTTCCTCTCTATGAAGTGATACTCGATTGAGGGCGGAGATTTATGATTCGGCTAGGACTCGAATCGGAGGACTGCTATCCTTAACATTCAACATTTTCATTAGGCAGTGATGACTGGTTGGCCGTACCAAGAAATGACACTTGAGGCAGGGCGTCTTCCACCGGTTGTCCCTTGAAGATGGTCAAAAAAATATAAACCGAAACGTCCGTACCATCTTTTTTGCCGTATGTGAGCATGTATTAAGCTAACCTACCATGGCTTTCAACGAAGTTTACTTTGACTTGCTATGAAGTATGATATTTTCACTAAAACTACGTTATTCTTCGGCTAAAGCGGAAGCAAGTACACAGTAATGACGGAGAAATTTTCGATGTGCTTATTTTATATTTTGTTTTTATATGTATTTTCACTATTGATGCAAAAGGAGCAAAGTTTCCAGTTTTCAGGGCCACTCTTTCTTTGTTTATTTTGGCAGCAGCTTCTGTAGGCATCATGGATCTCTCAGTTGACAGGAAAATTAAACAATTTTTTACACACGTCGACTGCATGGAAAAACGATTAATGTACCTTAATTTTAATCTCTACTTTTCACGGTTTGCCGTTCCGTGGTGAAATACAATTTCAAGAAGCACTATGACTGGACTACCATAAACGTTGAGAGTCACAGGTGTTAAAAACCTCCCAGAAAAGCTCAGTGGTTCACTTCCTGAAATAACGAGGTTAAGCATTAATGCTGTCGATTGTTCGACTTAGACGATCTTGTACATGTTGAACAATACAAGTGTCATTTCTTAAGGCAGCTTTAGTTTAACATTAAAGGCTGTTGATCAGAGCGAAGATTTTTTCCCGTAATAAGGACTCTGTACAGATGCCATCAGTTGACTAGACCGTTTCTAGCAGCTTTGAAGTCACAAGGTTCAAAGAGTTTCGAAGTTATATCAGAGACCATTTTTTCATCTCGTTTAGCCCTAAAACAGACTGGGCAGTTGCTCTGTGTTTTTCTTTGGTGGTAGACGGACTGAGGACTAGTAAAATCTATTTCAGAAACATCTAGTAAAACTGGTGACTTCCTTTCATGAGTGAGGCAGATTCTTTGCCTTAAAGTACAACAGGTATGTCTGTTGGTAAGGTGCGGTGCCAGTTCCATTGATCGAACATTCATTTCTGGTATTCTTCCATTTCTGTAATTTAATATCTAGTATTTTCATGTTTCGATCTGTACAGCACAGCCTTTATTGATATGTATCACTTCCTGGGTCACTGTCCACTTTTTTCTGCGATTTGTTTTTCTTCCGTGAAATTGATATCGACTATCGCGCACCATCGTCAGTCATCGTACTAATTTGAATTTCTATCGCAGTTTCATTCACCTGTTACTAACAGTCGAATTTCTCTTCTGTAGTTTGGTTGGATATCATTATCAAACCATACAGGTTATATACAGTCTGTGCATAAAATCATGCCCGATATTAATGGCAAAGTAGCAGAGTGCTAGTTTTCGATAAAACGGGAGAGAATAACAACCTGCTGTCATTTCTCAGGATATGCATGACGCTGTTACACGAAATCTCCCTCTGCTCCCAATCACTCAAGGAATGCTGTTTTGTGTGAATTACGGTACGGATATTAATATGACATGAGAGGTCGTCTGCTTGAACGGTCCCATAGGCGATTAGAAGCAACGAATGAAGCGATCACCCCTTGTAAATCCGCAGCAATGACAATAGATTGTTGTATGTAATATGATTCTGTATGAAACAGATTTATACGCGTCGTTCTATTCAGCAAGTTTACATGGCATTTTCTTGATTATATAGGCTGAGCTGTGGTACGCGGACATTTAAGCATGTCTCCCCACTATATTTTCATTCCACCGTGTAAAGTTGTAACAGTACCTTGTTAATAGCTATAGCAGAAACAGTTACCAATGCTTTATGCATCATCAGAATCAGATATAGTAATGTGTTTTATACCACTCGATATTGTTTTTTCCACTATTTATCACTAGGTATATTATTATCTGCAAGGTGTACCACTGTGCAGCTATAGAATATATAGTTTTATATTAAAGCCTAAGTTACTATTTAAACAGGTCACGGCTCATGGTATTTAGTGCTTACAGCGCGTCAGCTAGTGTATCACTGTTTTTATTCGCTGCAGTAATGCCGTTACTGCCGTCACCCCATGGTATATCAGAAACCGAACCGCTGTTCCTTAGTTATCGACAAACTTCAGTAATTCGTTAAATTAATACGAATAATTCTACTCACTTGGTTAACACTGGGTCGAAATCACAACAGTAATCACCGCGTGTTGATTTAGTCTGAATGATGGATTGAGAGTAAAAAAATTATCACACCTGCTGGATTCATTAAGTACACATAAATGTTAGGATATTGACGCCCGTTAAACGTTATGAAACATTAGGCTTAAAAAGTGAAGTTTTAAAAAGTAGCTCTCACCTTCGCTGGAGTTCCCCAAGCATGAGGGAGTATTTCCTTTTAACCAACGAGACTGAGCTGATTTTTTTCGAGCTTTCAATCTGAACTGCCTGCTTTTTTGTTCGGTTCGTTACGTCAAAGCACTTTTCTCGCTGCTCTCAGTCGAGCAAGTCAGTGCAAGCTATTACTGCTTTACTTAATGACACGGACCAGCAAACTTTCTGTTTTCCGTACGAATGCATACGTTTATATACTGACGTAGTTAGTGGTATATTGTTTTAGCTGTTGATATGATTTGATGCATTCCGAATGTTATATTTTTACATATACTATTTAATGTTGTTAAAAATGATTGATGTACAGCTGTGGACAGGGCATAACATATGTCATTGCAGTAGCGCACGCATTTATAAATATTAATATACATTCATCTTCGTTCAGTCTTTTTTGATTCACTGCTGGATGAAGCCTCTCCAGGAGTTTACCATATGCTTCTGCTTTCTGCACTTTTATTTATTCCTATACAGCGTGCTGTCAATAATACAGATTCATTCAACGGAGTATCCTAAATGACGTATAATACCTCCAGAATCAAATTTTACCTCCCTTCCTTTTTTTTACTTACTTTCCTATGAAGTACATTATTCAGAGCAAAACAGTTTGCAGCAGCGCTGATCGATGATCTGTTAAAATGGCTTCTTAGCCAATTAGACGCAAGAAGGCGATGTAGCGGGTCCAAAAGTCTTATGGAGGAAGATAAGTCGTATGTTATCCTTTCTTGTCTCTAAATGCATGGGAGCGAATGAGAGCCACCTCTAATCATGTGCATATACACCACCTAATATATCGACTCAGAAATGACTTGCCATGTTAATCAAATTGTGTCACTGATCAGGCATAGGTTAATATTACGTAGTTGCAGATAAGATGTAGTCATTGCGCATCATCATTTTGTGCCTTATTCGATCAACCACTTGAAGAAGACGTTATCAACACCGCGCTATAAACTTTTTTTATCTGCCATTCTGATCCATCTTCAGCCAACGATATTCAGCTCATCATACCATATGCCGATATGGAGTTATTCCTACGTATCGTTGATCCTCAAGTGGAACCCAGTCTTATGTCTCTCTTGTCCAGCGATGGTCGATTCTTTGTGCAACTTTGTCCGTTGTTATTTCAGCTTTTTCACAGAAACAACTTAACAACTTCAAGCAGTGCCTTCGTAGAGTTCTGTTTGTGCCGTTACCCATTCATTCATTTTCTAAATATATTCTTATTCCCAACATGCATCTTTGATTGCATGTATAATATATCGCTTGTATAGTTTGTATATATGTTTGCAGAACATATATGTTGTATTTGTGGCTTACGAGCTCTCGGGTAATCGTCGAATAACTGTAGAAAAGAAAAGCACATGATTGACATTTGTTATTGCCGCTGTATAGTTGCACGTTCAAACTGTACTATTTGAGCATCTGTAGGTTTAACATGCTTCAAGTATTCATTATACAACTGTTGGCAAAATTACTGTAGATAAACGCAGCGATGTATCGATTCGCATCCGCGTTGATTCATGAGTGCTTTCAGAAGACATAATTGCAGTGCGGAAGTGCCATCGTTGCTGGCGTAAATAGGTCAACAAATGAACGCATACACTTATAAAAATAGAGCAGAATATTCTTCAAAAACGACAGAGGCTCTTCCTGCATGCAAACTTATATTACATCAAAAGGTGTTTTTCTGCGTTTATTTTCTGTCTGTCGAACTATTCAGTAAAACTTAGGCAGGCCCATAAAGGCAGAAGTTTTTATATCCTACTTTTAGTTTGAAGGGTATACGGTTTCGAGGACCGAAAATGAATCTTCCTAGAAATCAGTTCAAAAGTTTAAAAGCCAATCAAGTGTGTCTGTTATGATTCTTACCAGGTTTATCTTGCGTGTGGGCGGGGGGGGTGCAGTTAAGGGTAATGATGATTTGCATAAGTCGTTTGTTTCGCACTTTAGAGTTGCCGGTTGAAATCCCGCGCGCACAGAAATATTCTGTTACCTGCTAAAATACCCCAGAGAGAGAAATTGAGTTCTGTTTGCGTAATTACAACCAGCCGAGAAACGGGTAGAGAAAACGCAAAATGACCTGCGACCAGTAGGAAGCATAGTACTCTGGTGTGATTGTACCGAAACACGCGAGACTCACAATCGTTCTGTCTGTGTGCGTTTTACGGCTGAAATCCGATCTCATCCATCAGCTAGCTGTCTAGTAAGCAGCACAAGGTGTAAACTGTGAATGAAAAAAAATTAAATTTAATCTGTTGCTCAGCATTACAGAAGTTAGAATAATCAGATGGGTTAATAGAAGGAACCTGCTAGTTTTACGTATTTTCAGGAGGAAGATTGTGGGATATCACGTTTGACGGAAAAATTGACCAAGAGTAGGCGGCAGATAGCTGGATACGTAATACCAGAAGTCTGTGAAGAAGTATAAGTAGTTAACGATTGCGATCTGGGAATCTAAAAGGTATATGACGATCAGTCAACAGCAACAAAGCAGTTCTTATAATTGATGTGCCAAGATGTTGCAGCAGCAAAATACCTCTGGAATATAAATAAAAATGCCCTCTAACGATATCGTTCAAATTGAAGGATTAACTATTGTTCTGAGTTGTTGAGGGGTAGACTTAGAAACATTGAAAGAATGACGTACTTAGCGAGACGTTTATAACGAGAGACAGTGTCGATCTGTTTCACACTTACTTTGGGCGTTGTTTGTCGCTGCATGTGGTTAAGAGAAGTAGTGGTAAGCAATATATTAAACAATGCAGCCGAAGATAACTATACGGTTTAGTTGTCTAATGGTATTCACGTACTTTTTTGCAAGAAATAGAGGGATTATATCCTACTTAATCAAAGAAACAAAAATGAACGAGAGTAAGAGTAGCGAAGCTCGCGGAATGAGGAGACGTTATGTACCGTCAAATCTAATCTTCGATAGTCATTCGTTATCCGACATACTCGGGAGTACGAATGGCTTATGATATTTATATGACTGATGAAACATCGTTCGTGATGAGTACGATGTATATAGTGGACAAAATGATATGAAATACATCAGGCACTGTAGGTACTCACATATCGTAGGGCCGTCGCCTTTTTTAAATGTCCTCTTCATCAACTAGCAGTAAGGGATTGGTTCATTGCACCGTGAATTCGAGTCTTGCAGGACTCAGATGTGCCTCCGATCGTTGCTGTACTGTCACCAGGCTTTGAGAAACATTCCTTATATACCTCAGCGAATTTTCTATGAAAGTTTGTTGTAAAGCGAAATGTGCATTTTCTCTAATGAAGAAAGAAATTTGTATTCATTTTGATGGCGTCGGTCTCTCGAAGAATTCTGTGATGAGCTCCACTTTTGCCACCGTTCTTGTCTTTGTTCATCTACGTTTTTATGCTATGAGCCTAGAGTTTCTTATTTAAAGGGTACAGTATGTAGCCTTCAGTTTCCTTTGTCACTCAGTGGGCCTGTAGTACTCTCTTATACTCATCGGAAGGATGAAAAACGAGTCACCCGATGGTGACTTGAACTCACGTTCGTTCGACTACGAGTAATGGTGCTCTATCGGCCGGCAGTCCCCTACTTTCGCTAACGGCAGTTTGAACATGGCCCTGTTTACGCGATCATTCGCCTCAACGTTCTATTTTTCTTGGACTCAGGTTGTTGTTGTATGCATAGCTTCGTCGCCCCTGTCTTTTCCATATCACAGCAGACGCTGGCGTTATACTTCTGAGTTGTAGACGTTTCCGTTTAACGAGATCAGCATCTGTGTGTCGCGGAAGGTCGTAGCTTGCCGTCTTAGTTGTTCGGCAGTTTGCTGGTGTTGACTGAGTCGTCACGGTTGTTTGTTCGGACAGATAAGCCATGTTTCTGTGTTCTTGGCTTTCCATTGCTGGTACTAGCTTTCAGCTTCTTGTTGACAGCGTTTACTCCTGCTGTTTGTTTAATAAGCGGTAAATCATCGATTTTTTTAAAATATACAACAAATACAGCAGTAAATACACAAACAACAACACATTCAGAGAAATGACGAAATTAGAAACTCTACACTTGTATATCTGTAACATAATTTCTGGTAGCTGCTAGTTTGAAGTATTCCGTAGACCTCGGTGACCGACTGATTTCTTGGAGCGCAATTCAAATGACGTAAGCAAACTATCGGTCGTACTGCTATATGCAAGTCACCGTCGAATGGTGATCCTAAAAATTTGATTGATTTTTATGGACAGCTCACCCTTGAATACTGTGCAATTATTATAGCGTTTGAAGCATTGATTTTTTGGGGGAATACGGAGTTTCCTAGCATTCGAATCGTACTTGAACGATCTGTCTAACGGAAATGCAACGGGGAAGCGGTGTGGACATTAGATTCATTTCAAGAACTTATTCTCATTTCACGCCCCAAAGAACATCAAGTGGTCCAAAACGTCGTAATATAATTGACGGATATATATCGTTATAATAATATACTCTATCAATATGCTATTAATTCTCACTTGACCAGACGTAGGCACATTGCGCCCTCTCCTTTCGCCTAGTTGCCAGGAGCGGAGAGGTCATTTTACTGTCCCACGAAACCGTGGATTTTGAGATCCTTTTGTTTTATGCAATTCATGTCAGTTTTTTCGTTAGACCGACCTCATGTTCTTCGCAAAGAATGTTTCTGAAGTTCAGATTCCTTGCTTGCTACCGCATAATGGACTGGATGAAGCTAAATCTGGTCTTGCAGTGGTTATGCGCCTGTTAACATACTCTGCATGTGAACAAAATATTGTGATGTTTACAGGTAGTGTACTGTGCTAAATAATTATCATAAGCTGTATACGTATAGAACCAACCAAAAATACCCATGTATTCCGCGTTTACTAACAGAAATTCCTCCTTTCTTCTAATGATCAAGGGTTCTTTGAAGTAGGCCGCAATTTCGCATCCACACGCTGCAGAAGTTTTAATGTGACGGAGCTCTCTCGTCCTTAAAACTTATGTTAAGCCTGTTGAAAAATCAAAGGGAAGGTACATTTGGCGACATGCAAAACTTATTGACATTTATAAACGTTTTTCTTTACGTTAGTCGTTGTTGTCTGTCATCAATATTAAAATAAGCAAATTTACATCACCCCTTGAATACGTCTTATGCCTTTTTTCATCTCAGAAACATTTTATAGATTTGGATAGAAGCAGTCTTAATCGTACCTTATGAAGACGTATCGAATATGATTCGATACCTTAGAGATTCATTTTGTAATTATATGTATGCTGAAACAAGTACCAAGCATGTACGAATTGAAGTTCGATTGATTGTTGTCTGTGAAAACGCCAAAAGGAGTATAATGGCCTAAGTTGGAAAGGGGTTAGCTTGTGATTTTATGGCACTGTAATAAGTTTTAATTATGTTAATTATAAAATTGCGTCGTCGATTTCAGTCATACTGTGTTCATTTTGTGTGAGCATAATGAGCCAGCCAGCTAAGAATTACTTTTGTTTTATTTTATTTTTTTTTGTTTTATGACTAAACGAATAATTACATCAAAGTGAACTGCATTCTACGCAGTCCACTCTCTGTAGATAGAAGTAAACTTGATTCATTTGTCTGGCGAATCGGACTTTATTGAAAATACTGTATCTAATACCATGTAATGTGTATAGTATAGTAGCCTAGTTGAGGTTCCAACCCGTTGTCTTTGCCTCGCTTCACAGTGCATATGAAATTGAAACTGATTTGCGGTTCTGGTCAGTAACTGGTAAAACCACGGTTTTACTGGATTATTACTAAGCTTAGCCTAACAGCAAAGTTTCTGTTTTGTTTCCTCTGTATTTGAGCTTACACCGTGGTTTTGATATAGGCTGAAACTTAGGCGGTAATGTGGTAGAAACCATATATTACCAGTCTGGACTGAAAGCAAACTTCGTTTCGTCCTATGCCATACGGTGTGTGTGTGTTTGTGTGTGGGACGGGGTGTTCCTTCCGGTATGGACGGATTTCCCTTTCTTCAAACTGATACACAGAGAATCTTCAGATGCAGGAAAATAATTTTAATTTCAGTAACGATTGCAAACATTGAATTATCGACTGTATCTGCAACATTCGCAACTCTGAGTCATGCAGAAAAACTTCTGCCTGGTACAGTAGAATAAATATGAGCAAAATGAACCGTGTACTGATTCACTCGACGAGTGTGTGTGAGTCGAGTCATGAACTGAATCATAAAGCTGTGTAATCGTGTGCGCGTGCGCGCGATGAAGCACAGGCATAAATTCAAAAATATGAAATCGAAACATTGCCAGACGCGACTCAAGTTCTGCCACCACGTCATCCCTACAGGTCGTACAGATGTGATGAAACACCTCATGTATTTGTTTGATCACCGTTTGTGTAAAAATCAGCTTCTTACGCAAGTGATCTAATCGTTCTAGCGAGGGAGTTTGCAGACCGCCGTCGGATTTGTATACACCTTTCAATGATCGTTTCGTTATTTACGTTTTGCCGTCTGTCGATGAGGCATTCGTGCTGATTTTAATGTAAAATGGGAGGAAGCGAGGTCGGTTTTAAATCTTCAGTCCCTTCTGGGAAGCAGCCATGGTGGTTACGCTGCGTTTCCTTCAGTCTTACCCTAAGGTTCCAAGATGTAACCTAGGCGTATGTTTGCTGATCTCATGATCGTCTTATGGCACGGTTGTTAATGATTGCTTAGTTGATATTTTTCAACACTTGGTGACTTCTTCAGTCTATAAAAAAGAAGAAAAATCTAACTTAGATTTTATTCCGTACTACTGCTTGATAACGCTCGAGTAGTTTGACGTTGTACAAACAACACGATTTTGAAGGACGTTGCTCCGGTCATGCGTCATTACCTAATTTAAGAGGTTGATCCGAGAATTCTGTGGGCTAGAATTTTTTCCAGAAGTTTCGTGCGATGTGTTGCCAAGGTCACGTGGCGGATCCATTCAATTCCATGGGGCCCATCTGCGACATTTCGCTTAAAAAATAATTTATATACGGAAAGTGTTCACTACACAACTCGTTGATTTTTCATTCAGAAGCAAACAGCAGAGCATTTTAATGGAAAATGAATAATTAAGGACTAATCGTTACTTTATTAAGCGTATTAAATTAGTACCTGTCACTTCTTCGGATTCGTGCGGCGTACTGGCAGCGTCTTCTTGCTTCTGATAGCTTAGGGCATCATTTAAAGAGC